AGAGAAATACTAAAGTCTCTTTATTTTCCCAGTTATGTTTGTTTGTTTGTTTTCCATTCAGCAAACATGGAATTTCTCAAAAGTGCCAGTAAAGTGTTTGCACAATAAATGGGTTTTATAGTACAGCACTTCTCAGTCAAATAAAACTTTTCTCTTATTAAAATACTTCATATGATCATAATGAATATTAGTCACATTAAGTATATGATTATTTAATTCTAGATTGGAAATAAGTTTATAGACTTACTAACATTAGAATTCATGGGGGCTTCAAATTATGAATAAAAGAAAATTAATAAAATTGTTTTATCTAAATTATTTTTTTTCTTTTTATTATAACAATGAAACAAGGCATAAAAGAATGTGTCCTACATATATTTTACAGTGTGTGCTAACATTTTAATGTCTTAGTATTTCTGAAAACTCTTGATTAAGTGTTATATAATATCAATGTTTATAGTCTTGTCTTCAATTTCTTCACTTTCTTATGGCTGGAGAAGAAACAGCAAAGGATCTACCTTCCTCCTGTAACAGAAGATCATCAATACAAGAGAAATATTTAACTGTATGCTGTTTTATTTTATTGTAATTGATTTATTTTTATAATCAATTAAAATTTTTATAATATTTTTTTTTATTTATTGCATTATCACTTTCAACACTTAATGTCTGGAAATATTCCAATTTTAATCAAAGTGTAGGGTTTTCAGAAGTTATTTCTCTCTCAGGCATCAATTTAAACAGAGTTTTCTTTCTGAGCATTTGGACCTAATAAATTTCAAATGGGTCACTGTCACTCAGAACAAGAAAACACTTTGTTTTTAACACAACAAAGCCATCTAGAATGATTTTTTAAAGCAAATGCATTGTGAAGATTTCAACGTACATTGGACAACACAACTCTATTCATTCACGCTTTCCCATGACAAGATTTTGTTGGCCTTTTAAATCTTTGTATGTCAGACTCAATCAACTCAATCATTCAAAAAACAAACAAACAAACAAAAAAAAAAACAACTTTGAAATGTCTCAAATATAAGAAGCCATAAATGAGACTGACACAAAAGGAAAAGTTAACAGTAATAAGACTTTAAGCTTCCATATCTGGGCTTCCATGGAAAATAATTTGGCAACTTTTAGCTTTTCCATTTGGACTAATCCAGAAAGTCTTTAATGCCAACATAAAGTAATCTTCTCTGCTCTTTACAGGCAGATCAAGTCCTACAGTGACACCCACAGAATGAGCACTTCTCCACCTTGGAGTAGTACTAAATAAATCAGTAAAGAGTTTAAAACTTAAATGCAGCTAGTTGGAAGACTGTTTACAACTGTTCATGAAACTACCTCACTCTGAGGGGAAAGAAGCCATGCTGATTAAAACAGCACTTTTTCGAGTATATGCTTCTCCCAGAGCAACGGCATCTGAGTATCACAAAAGGCACAACTCCTCACTGTGTAGCATCACCTTCTGTGCTGAAAGGAAAACAGTGTCTCAAGAGCAGGAAAATCTATGGAGGGAGCTGATTTGCAGCAGGGAATGTATACCTTAAAGATGGAGGAGAGAAGGGAACAGGTGTGAGTTATGGCTCCGTTTGGATAAATGCTGCTTCAGCAAGTAGCTGGGTAATATAGCTGGAGACTGCATTATCTTTATTGTTGAAACTTTGCACTCCTGAGGGGGCTGGAGAAAATCTGATAGCTATTACTTTTACAGTTCCTTTGAAGCTACACAGAAAAAAGATTGCTCACTCAAGGCATTTTGTAAGATACCCTCTGTTTTCTTAATGTCTTCATGAATACATTGTCTAACACTTAATTTTCCTGAGGCCAGGTTTTGCCAACTCATTCAGAATTGTGATTGCATTGATTATGTTGGAAAAGGTGGCAGAATCTCATTTTGCTAAGAGCACTATACTAATACTGCAGTGAGCTGCAAGTTACGAATATTGGGGTTAAATGTTCAAAGCCCTGTCCATGGTCCAAATTTACAAAGATCTTTCTTTCAGAATAAAGATTATTCTGAAAGAATTTTATTCAGAAAGAACTTTATTAAGATTTATTCTGAAATAATTTTATTATTATTAATTCAGGTTATATAGTTTGGTGAACATTCTGGCCTTCCTTCGGATAACAGTAACATTTATACACAATTATCTAGAAATCCACTTGCATGGATTTTTCAGCTTTTCAGCAGTCTGAACAGACAAAATTCTTTTTTTAATCTGAAGATTATATGGAAATACATTGAGGGAAAGACTGCAAGGGATTTACTGAATGTTTTTATCTAACATCTGGCTGAACAGAAAAAAACAACAACAACAAAAAAATAAAGCTAATCCATTAAATTCTTCTATTCTTCTCTACAAAGATGAAATTGTCAATTGATTTTTCAATTTAAAATTACACAAAAAGATTTGAATATGGAAAAACTTTGTACAAACTGTTGCAATTTTACAGAACCTCTACAACACTTCTCAGAAGCATCTATAACCAGAAATCCTTATATTCTTAAACAGATTGGCATATATTACCATGATTATATATTGAAGAAACAGAAATCACCCACAAAGCAGTCCTATGTAATGTGGTAAACAAAACAAACAGTAACTGCAACTTCAAAAAAAAACAACAACAAATAATAATAATTAAAACAACAACAACAAACAAACAAAAACATACAGTCATAGGATAATTTGGATTGAAAGAGACCTAAGGAACTTTGTCATCCAACTTACTGTCCAGAGCAGGTCGGCTCTGGGGTCAGACCAAATTGCTCGGTCTTGAATACCTCCAGGGACGTAGATGGCATGACCTTTGTGGAACATGATACTATGACTGTCTGCACTCATGAAGAAAAATGTTTTCCATTATATGCTGTTTCCCTATTGCATTTTCACCATGGACTACCGTGAAGAGCTTAGTTTTGCCCTGCCTTTGAAGAAGTAGTGAGACAATGTATACTGGCAACTACAGAAGATTCAGAGGGAGAAGCAAGCTTATAGTTTTGCAAGCCCATTTACTTTTTCAGGACAATACAAACAGGAAGACCTCAGCAGAACAATGAATGTATGCAGTCTTTGATGGTTCCTGCATGGGAGGGAGGCTAAGGTATTTGTGGTTGCCCACGCACAGCCACTGGCTGTGATCTGACCATGTAAAAGGTATTGAGCAAAACATCATGAACACTGCTGCAAAATAGCAGTGCTTTCCCAGCCTAGAGTGAAAACACTTCTGCTCCTTTCTGTGAAATTAATTCACTCTGTTTCTCATTGCTTTATCTCCTTTTAATAAGCCTTGATCAGCCTAGTCAAAAACAAAGAGTATTGCTAGGAAACAACTTTCTTGCTGAGATGTTCTGAAAGAATGCCTCTGTGCCTTTAATGTGTAAGGCTTTAACTACTGCATGTTTTGTGTATCTCCAGTAGCAGCTAAGGAATGAGCGGTGAATCAATCCTACATTCCACAGCAAAAAAAAAATATTGCCAGGTTTCTCTGAGGATGCCCAGTTTTAGTTTGCTGTGATGGTACAGTGATGTTTGATATCTTCTAGGACTCTTTTGGAAGTGAAGTCTACACCTCTACAGTTTTGAAGCTTGATGGTTAGCATCCTTATGTTGAAGACATTTTTACAATAAGGTATTAATTCAGGTTTGATTGCCTTTCTGAACCTTTCATCCCAGCAGTGTACATGTTGAAACTTATTTCCTAGGTACTAATTTTTACTCTTTGAAATATAAAAATGGAAGTAAGATACAAAAACCTTGTAATGAATAATACTCTAATTCAAATGAAAGATTAAAGCCCAAAGTAGATTTCTAAACTCCACCTTAAGCTTCCAGAAACATTTATTGTCTTCTGATATTATAATGTCTTAACTAAAATAATGTACATCTGCCTTTTTTCTAACATTATTCTTCATGAGAAAAAAAAAATCTTTTTTTTTAATTTTTTTCTTTTTGTAATCCTTTATTTATTTATCTCCTAGAAAATAAGGGTTTATTCTAAAATGAGAAAAATTCAAACCCATCATTAAAAAACAAAACAAAACAAAACAAACAACTAAGTGATTTTGTTAAGAAACAGAATAGTATTCTGATGCTACCCTATTGTTTTCCAGTATCCATATGAAAAAAGAGTGCATTGAAGTTAAAAAACCTGTCATCTTCGACATGTAATATTTGTTTCACTGTGAAGAAAAAAAAAAAAAAAGTGAAGTATGCAAGAAGTATTTCATGAATATGAAATTGAATCATAGAATATTTTAGGTTTGAAAAGACCTTCAAGATAAGACTAGCCACTCACCTAACACTACAAGTCCACCACTAAAGCATGTTCCTAAATGCCACATCTACTCATCTCTTAAATGTCTCCAGAGATGGAAATTCCACTACCTCCCTGGACAGCCTGTTCCAGTGCCAAACCACCTCTTCTGTAAATTAATTCTTTCTAATATCCAATCTAAACTTTCACCAGCACAACTTGAGGCCCACTTTGGAAACAAATCATAACATGCTAATTTTTAAAAAGCTATTTGAATAAATGCTGCATTTGAAAATGAAATGCCATGTGTACAAATCACCAACTAAATAAACAAAAAGTTGACAGTTTTCATTATAAAAACTAATGGATAGCACTATTAGTCCATGATAATTCTGATACTAATAAAAATTCTCCCCTATGCAATACAACTGCAGCAAATCATGAGTATCTAGCTCTATTGTAGACACTTTCTAGATACAAACACACCCTCAAAAACAAACAAACAAACAAAAAACACCACAAACAAAACAGAAAAACAGGTTAATCCTCCCAGATTCACATGCACAAATGTTACTTCTACATAAATTGGACCAATTCTTTGATAAATTGGTACATGAAAGGAGAATTATAAACTGCTGGTGGAAGAAATAAAATGAATTGGATATTCTGTAAAGGATTTCTGTGGCCTGTGGAACACTGAAGGACAATTATTTCCTAGTTGATGATCTCTAGGAACTAACCTTTTTATCTTCTGTCATTCTTCCGTTGTCCATTCTTCCATTCTTCCATTGTCATAGGTCCAGCACCTTTTCCCAAAAGTCTAGGTGAACTGGGACTACAAAAGAATTCAGCTTCTCCAAAATAATTTCATTGAGGAAAATAAACAAACAAACAAATAAATAAATATGACTTTGATGGAAGAATAGGCTAGTCCTGCCTACGTCTGGTTGGATTTCCTGGATTTTAGTTATCCTATTGAAACATCAAAACAATCAAACAATAAATAAGCCCTTCTGAAGTTCTGGTACTGAATACCAGCATATTTAGGTTCAGTATTAAATAAAGCAACATAAAAAGAAGGCAAAAGAAACACAATGAGAAGATGAAAATCACTTGAGCTCATCAAAATAAATGATTGGCCAGAAAAGTTATTCAATGAGATGAAACAAAAGCAACAAGCTGAAAACCTTAAGAACAGCTCAAGTAAAAATCACAAGAAATTGTAAATCCATCATCTGTAACATTAAAAAAAAAAAATCTCTGCCAATTGACGTTTGAATGGCTTTCTTTTTATGTCAGAACTTGAGGACTATATTTCTGTACTAACTAGAATTTTAAATAGGTTAACAATATTCACAAGTTTTACATGCATGAGTATTTTATATTCTATGATATTAAATCCTTTGGCTCTCTTCCTTTATTCCCTTTAATAAAAATAACATTTTGCCCAGCATATTTTGATAGATTATGCAAAATCTTGTACATTTTACACAGAGGAGAGGAGAGGGGAGGAGAGGGAAGGGGAGGGGAGGGAAGGGGAGAAGCTTTTTTAATGGAAGCATATATTCTATTGTACTCAAATCTCCATGGGAATTACTGTCAGGAAACTATATATATATACATCTTCCCTTCCCTTCCCTTCCCTTCCTTTCCCTTCCCTTCCCTTTTCTCTTATTAAAAAAAAAAAAAAAAAATTGTTCTTGCTGATCTTTGATCTTTAGCATCATCACTTAGTGGGTGAAAGGGGAATGGTCACACACAGGTTTTTCCTGTTTCTCAGAGCAGAAGGAAAAAACATCCATCTGGCAACAAAGATGGAATATTGTTGCTCTGGATGGGCTAGCAGCATTGTCATAGGGGTTGTTACAAAATTTGTTACAAATTATATGAATTTGATTTTAAGCTTGTTTTCATAATGGAAACAAGTCTTAGAGAATTGGTGTCTGTCTGTACATGCATGCCTAACTTTCTGTAACTAGAGTTGCAGTTAGATTTTGAATGATTTATGTAATTTAAAATTGTAAATATCTTTTAACAGGTTACTAGAAAATTCAAAGTGAGAAACCCGGTCAAACTTTCTTTATAAAGGCTATATTATAGGTTCTGTCCTTGTTAGACATCACAGAATTGAGGCATACCTAGGAATTCATCTCAATGAATTACTTGTTTACTTGAGAGTGAATGAGATGAAGAGATTATTGCTAAAGTCAAACAATCAGGTCATTTGTTAATGCAAGTGCATTCCCAGTTCTTATTTTGTCCTTGAAAATACCATGCATCTTCAAGCTATATTATTTTAAAGTAGTATTCATTTTTAAATAGTTAATTTGAATATTTAATACAAAAAGTAGGAAATATTTCCTTCATAACTAATGACAATGACTTTTAAGAGATAACATTGCCATTAATGAAATCTAATTACAGATTCATCTAAAAAATAATGTCTTGTGTTAATTTATCATGAAAAGCTAATAGCATTCTAAGACAAAAATAGTTCTTTGGAGTTTTATAAATGTTCTTCTCTAAGTTAAACATTTCTATTACACACAAAAAAAATAAATTACAGAGTCTGAAATTTGACTATTAAATAAAGAAAATCACTGAGTGCTATATATTTATTTATTTATTTATTTATTTTTTTGTGAAGGGGTTATTGTATTTTTTCATCATTGTAGATTTCGGGAAAAACAAACAAACAAACAAAAAACTTTTAAATACACCATTATCTTCCCTCAGTATCTATTGATTTCAAAGTTTCTATATTTCTTTATAGATGTCAGATATTAGTCTCATATTGTATAATGACAATATAACATATTTTCTAATGTTTCATCTTCAGTGTTTCATCTTCAGTACCAAAACATCATTTTATTCTCTCATTTGAAGTACTTGAATTGTCTTCAAATATTCTTCTGACCTGAACTGTAATTCTCCCCGCATCTAGGAGACATGGCAGACTACCTTACATGGTATTTGAAGGTAACAACTGCTTTTTGGTAACTGAAGATGGGAAAATTGCACTGAAAGGCTCTCAAGACGAAAGAGACAGATCAGCATCACTTAAGTGAAGTGACACAAGTTAAGGTACCCAGCTGAAGACTAATATCTGTAAAGAAGCAAACCAAAAACAAATGACAACAACAACGCACACACAAAGAAAAACACAAGGATCAGGTAAACAGGGACTAGTAGAGGTATGATGAGACTTACATTTCCCTTACATTTCCAACTTTCATTTCCCTGACTTCCCTCCCTCTCTGGGACGGGGGAGAGAAATGGAAAGTGAAGCCCGTGAGTTGAGATAAAGACAGTTTAATAAGACAGGAAAATAATAATAACAAAATAATAATAACAATAATAACAATAATAATAATATGGTGATAATAGGGAAATAATATGTACAAACAAGTGATGCACAATGCAATTGCTCACCACTCGCTGACCGATGCCCAGCCTAACCCCGAGCAGTCCGGCCCCCTCCCCCCGGCTAGCCACCCCTATATATTGTTTAGCATGACGTCAGATGGTATGGAATACCCCTTTGGCTAGTTTGGGTCACCTGTCCTGGGTCTGTCCCCTCCCAGCTCTTACTGCACCCCCAGCCTGTCCGTTGGCAGGACAGAGCAAAAGGCTGAGATGTCCTTGGCTTGGTATAAGCACTGCTCTGCAACAATTAAAGCATCGGGGTGTTATCAGCACTCTTCTCATCCTAAGCCAAAACACAGCATTCCACCAGCTACTAGGAAGAAAATTAATTCTGTGCTAACTGAAACCAGGACATGCAGTCTATCCTGTATTCTCACTAAATTCCCTCTCTTCCATCAGTATGGGTGCACTTTGAACATGTTGAGTCAGTATAGGTGCACGCTGGCAAATCTCAGGCTGGACTAGCCAGCAAGCAAAGTCTGAAAACTAGCAGATGGAGCAAGACCATGAACATCAGAGGCTGTAGGTCCAGGGAAGATGGGGGATTTTGGATAACAGTCATACACACATGCAAATATAATGTTTTCCATAGTGTTTTTTAACTCTGATCAAACTGTAATCAGGCCATTGGTTCTGTTCATGTTCCTCTGAGTTCTGTGTGTTTAGGTGGATGTATTTTACTGCCTGAGTGGATCTGTGTGTCTGGTCACATATGTGTATATACTATGTGTGTGCACAAATCTACTGGGAGTATGCACTCAGCTGAGCTGGCAACAGGAAACCTCAGAGTGCTGACTGCTGTCAGATATCTGCTAGACTCAGAAACCTCTAGTAAACCTCTGTTGATACAACAAATTACTGTGGTTATAGTGCAAAGCCACCACAGATCTATTCAGCATGGCTGATGTTTTCTGGAACTATCAGCCTTACTGTAATTTCCATAATAATATTCTGCCCTAAAAAGAAAGGAGTACTTGCACACACTATAGATTATTTCTGGCAGTTGCTATCTTTTCTAATGGGCCTTGAGATTCTTTGTGCCATAACAGATTTGGGATTTGATCAGAATATTATAACAAAAATCATAAACAGCCTTCTATAGAAGAGAAAATTAATTTTATGATGCATCAGCATCTTCACTATAGAAATAATTTTGCAAGTGAATAATTTTGATATAATGTGAAGAAAATGGAGAAAAACATGTCCTCTAGGATTTCACTATCTTGGTATCTGAATGCATATATGTGATCTTTTTATTTATTTATTTATTTTTTTTTGGGGGGGGGGTACATATACATATATGCATGTGGATATTCACTACATAGGATAAATTAATATTTTATGCAGAAGAAATATGAATTCGTCCATATGTGTGTGTATATATATATATATATATATGTTAATTGGGTGATCTAAAAGGCATATTGTTTTTTAACATATTTTTTTTCAAAGACAGCTTATTAAATTATTGGCATATAGCTATTACACTGATGTGTATATTGTAAATATAGTCATAAGGTAGTCATAAGGATGAAAAATAAATCTTGCTTCTGTGTTATCTACTAGTTGGGTCTACCTCTTTTCACATAACTGTGTTACTTTAACATTTGTTATAGCAGTTAATTTCCTTTTGTGCAACATATCTTAGAATGTCATAATTTGAACATCTCGCATTATTTAATTTTGTGACAATAAACAATCTTAAGACTGCACATTAATAAAGCTGGGGTCCAAACTTACTGCAAATTTTCAAATGATGGTTCTGCCTGCTACAAGTTGTTAAATTATAAAGCAAATATATTTCACTATGGGTGAGAAGTAAGTATTTCCGTAGGCAAACTAAAAAATGTGCTAGATCCCTCACCTATTTGAACAATTAAAATTCAGCAAACATATACCTGCCCTAGGCAATGATCAGCGAGGTCAGGTACTGTACAAGGTCAGGTCTGAAGTTTCATTAAAAAAACATTTAGCATTATCAGCTTAGCATTGCACTTGCTTTTTAAAAGAAACAACATCAACAAACAAATGCTTCACAATAGTGTGTTTGGTCTTTATTTCATTGTTTGTTTGCTTGTTTGATTGCTGTTTTTTAGTAGAAAGAAACAAATCAGCACAGCAAGCACAACAATGATGAAAACTCCTTTCTATCCTGCCTTGATGTTCAAGAACAAGTTTTAGAAGCAAACCTAAAACCTTGCACTGCAACAACAACAAGAAATAAAAATAAAATAAATATAAAATAAATATAATAATAATAGTACATGATAATAATTGATTGGATAAATTATCAGGCAGAGTACAGAGTGCTCATGTATGGAATGATATCTTAATTGGTTGATGTTTTACAGACTACTGTAGAACATTCACTTAAATTTTAAATTTCTGCTCAATTTAAAAAATAATAGTAAAAAAATCATTGGCATGAAGTTAAGGTGAATGCACAATGGATTTCCCTGGTTCAGCTCTTAGCTACTTTATCTTTATTAGATAGGAAGAAATGAAATACTGGGAATTCTAGGCAAGGAACAAAAGCTGAATGTTATTGAAATTCCTTTTTCCCCAAGACCATCTCCCAGACTATATTCCCTTATCTGATGTCATCTTTGTTTAACATGTAGCACATTTAAGTGCACTTTATTGCTGTACAGACCAGATATATAAGAGATTATTTAAATGATCTTCAAGCAGTGTTTAGGCTAGCAGTACAGTGGATAGTCACACACTAAGTTGTAACTTAGTTATGGAAATGGTAAACTCACCTAAGAATCAATAACAAGTAATCATCTGCATTAACATAGAGACTAGGGTAAACTAGAAGACTATTAATCCACTTTGTTAGCCAATATTATCTCCCATAATCTTCTTCAAGGTGGTCACTGCCATACACCTTACAGTGCTTTTTGTGATCTCTGATCTCTGGGTTTCCTCATCTCTCAAATAAGCCAAGATAAGGAAGAATCAGATCAGAGGTCAGACATGTAGAGAGGAATAGCTCAATCTGGACCTGTCACAGCTTCAAATGGAAGACATTTATTGATATGCCTGAGCTTGCTGATATAAATTTACATAGGCCTACAGGACAGCACAGTCCAATCGGAGGTCTGGAGCACCTCTCCTATGAAGACAGGCTGCGGGAGGTAGGGTTGTAGGTAGGGTCTTGTAGCCTGGAGAGAGAAGGCTCCAGGGAAACATTAATGGTGGCCCTCCAGCACCTAAAAGGGGCTTACAGGAAAGCTGGGGTGGGAATCTTTGTCAGGGAGTGTAGTGATAGGACAAGGAGATATGGCTTTAAACTAAAGGAGATTAGTTATTTGGAATAAATTCTTCACTGAGAGGGTGGTGAGGCACTGGAACAGATTGTCCAGAGAAGCTGTGTATGCCCCATCCCTGGAAGTGTTTACGGCCAGGTTGGATGGGGCTTTGAGCAACCTGGTCTAGTAGAAGATGTCTGTGCCCGCAGCAGGGGGGTTGGAACAAGACGATCTTTAAGGTCACTTCCAATCCAAAACATTCTGTGATTCTATGATTCTATGCTAATTTCTGTTCTAAATTCTATACTAAGTTCTGTTCTAAAGTGAGTGAACAGCACAGGAAGAACATGCTAGTGGACAGGTTTTAGTTTTACAAACCACTGGTTTTTAAGTGACTGTAAGTATTTACATCAATAGAAGTGTTCACTAGGTTATAAAAATGTAACATAAGTTTGGCAGAGCAAACACCATAAAGGGATAAGAAGAAGCTTTTATTTCCATTACAAATATAGATACTATTTGCTATACCAATGCCCCCAGGTATTTTTTTTCCAATAAAATATATTTTGGAAATAAATCATTTAAGCAAACATTTTTAATAGTATGAAAGAGAGAAAAAAAAAAAAAAAAGATTTTGATTGTTTTTTTCTAACATGTTAAAATAATGATTAGTTAATGGGACAAATAAACACAATTTGTTATTCTAATGTATCATTTGTTATTCTAATGTATCATGACTTGGTATCAGGCCCCAGAGAAACTTGTTTCTGAGTATGACAGTGCTGGTGTAAGGGGAAAAGCTGGAACTGTATTCTGTAACTCAACCCAATTTGCATCAGTTTATAAACAGTTTCTTGTGACAGTCTTTCTTTCATGTGGACATTCATGACAAAGAAATAGTGCAGAGGTTCCATCCAGATTATTTATGCCATAATATTGGGAAAGTAATATCTACTATAAATTGACTCAAATTCTTGACTAAATAAACTCTAAAAATTAGAGTTCAGAGTTTGGATAGCTCTGATGTCTCTGATCCAGACCTGGAAAAAAAAGACATTCAAAAGTTTGCATGGACTACCTGCATATCTAATGATATTGCAAGGACTCTTAATTTAGGATTGCTTGATTTTTTATTTTTTTTTTTCCATAAAATGTCTAACAACAGTTTATTAATTTCTGAATTAAACAAAAAGGACTGGGAAAAAAAAAAAAAAGAGAGAGAGAGAGAGAGAGTTGGACATTCTAATCATTGCTTACTTTGTTAATATTTTGCTTTCCATCACTGAACTCTTGTCATTGACCTTTTTGAAAAAAAAAAAAAAGTTAATACTGCTATGGAAAATAGTAACATATTTTGAGAAGGATGGTTAATGCAACCAAACCCAAGTTAAGCAGTATCCACAGTAGGAAAGCAGTAGGAAAGATCCCCTTTAAGAGAGAGACTAGCAGCATAGTAAATCAGCAATAAGCAAGGAGGGATGGAATAGAAAGACAACCCATTTCTCTTCCAACTTTCCCAGCTTTTCCAATCACCTTAATACTGATGAATAATATGCAATGACATATATATCAGTGCTACATAGAGATGAGTGCTAATTATACAGCATTAACTCTGTGGTATTGTAAACACAGAGCTAATTTAGAATGTGAGTGTCAAAAATGGTCATCTTTGTGTTTGTAGGGATGTAAGTACATCAAGAGCCAGTCACTAGCAGAAAGTGTGTTGATAATGAACAAATTTAAGAATTATTATTATTTTTTTTTAATATTAAGTGGCTTGGTGAATTTAAATA